GTTTTTTTAAGTCATTAAATTATAAAATAAAATAATTAGTTTTATATCCAAATTGTTGCAGAAAATTCTGTCTTTCTGATTCAATTTTAGGTTGTTATGAAATATTTCTTTCACACTTGTTATTTTTAATTTTGTTAATAAATTACTGTAGGTACTTAATTTCAACATATTGTTTTCTAATGTTTGTAATTATTAACAAATTATGTTGGTAAACGTTTGTGTTTATTTGTAATTATATTGTCTGCAAACCGTTTTATTTAGTTTTTATCTTCTCATAATTATATCATTTCTTTTGTTTTTTTTTTTTCATAAAATTAGTGGTAAAACAATTTGATACTGGAATCAAGATTATAAGAGCATTTTGGACACTGAATACAGACTTTCTTTCCGACGACTTTCCCTCCCATTTCTTGCTCATCATATTTATAAAAATAACAGAAAGCATATCGTATGTTGCCATGTAATTGCGTTTATTATAGTGAAAGCGAATATCATATTCATGTTTTAAATAAAATTTTATAAAAAATTATTTAAGTTCTTTTATTTTAAATTTTAGTAACAAACTTTTGACCTTTCTTCATTATGTACACCATTTTCAAGTTATTTATTGTGGATACCGGCTAGTTTCGCAGCCTCTATCTCCGGTTACTCTTAATAAGAAATTATCCTTCAAATTAGTTGTAGAGGCGGCGTTTGTTTACTCAAACAAGCAAGATGTGTTCTGTCAAGCAAAGTTGTTTCAAGTTCTTAAAATAACATTTTAGTCAAGAAGGTCGTCAACGCGTGACATTTTTGTCGGCCGAAAGAAAATTAAAACCGTTTCAAATCGTTTCCTTCCACCCTGAAAAATGTTTCGTTATTTCTGATCCTTTGCATCGAACTCACCCTAGTGCGAAATTGTAAAATCGCCGAAATTAGCAATAAGAATGTTGATATTGATCTGGCTTGCGCAGAGCAGAGCAGCTCTTTCGGGGTTAGATCTAAAACAACGCTATGTAAATTGCCACCCAATTCCGGAAAAGGTCCGTTCACAAAGCACCGCCATCAATAAAACTGACTCTTTTACACCTTGCGCTCCTTTATAAATATTTTAAAGCAAACGAGTTAATTTCGGTTTTTCGGGAGATTGTTAAAACTGCCAAACGGGGCAAAAATTTATCAAAGGAATTTTGTCCAAAAAGACGCGTTTCTCACCGCAGAAATCCTCAAAAGAATTATTCCGACCCTCATTAGCAATGTTATGACAGGCGAGTATTTGGTGATGGCGCCAATATTAAGTTACACCATGTGTCCCAAGCAAAATCGAAAAATTAGAGAAAATAAGTCAACTCTGTTGCCAGATCTATATCCATTATAACGTCAACGTTGTCTATTGAGCAAAGATTTGAGTCTGCGGGTATTTCTGAAACTGCAAACAAGTTTAAAAACCCTCCTGATGCTAACAACCATTCAAGTCTTCACTAGGGTTTGTATAAAGAAACTCGAAAACTTATTTGAGGGACTTCATATAACGAATAGGAATTAACTTGTTAAGCTAAAATGAACGCCTAGCGAGGGAGTGTGGAATTAAATTGAAAAGAATTTAAAGAATTTCAGATATAGCTTCGCGTATTTCTCATCTACAGGGGTTCGATTTTATGATTACCTAATAACGCACGTTCTAATTCATTATCCAAACAAAAGGAATAAAGGAAATATGATACGGCTATAGAAAAAATTAGAAAAGCATTCCGAGACACAAGGAAATATTTATAGATCAACCATTCAAACGGGTGTCACAAAGACGTTTTCAAAAATATTTCATACAAACACAAGAACCAGACTTCTATTTTGTACAACACCGGAATTAAAATCACAAAAATTAAACGTTTCTAGATAAGGAAATTTCAAAATGGTTTTTTGCTAAGCATAAATTGACAAAAACTTTACTTTTTACTTTTCAAAACTTGCAGAAAAATGCAGACAACCCTAAAATATGTAAAGAAAGCACATTAAATTTAAATATTGAATTGATGCAAAATATTCCAGAACACTATATAAAAAATATTTAATATATTACCAGTGTTAACTAGCATTATAAGAACTAACGAATCAATTTAAATAAATAGGGAATATACAGTGAACGGCAAAATTATAGAATAATTTTTTTTTGACTACCGTATGTAATATTTAATATTTTGGTGTTGTCATTTCGACAATTAAAATATCTATCGAATTGGCTAAAGAAATTAGGAGCTTCCATTAAATAAAAATGTCGATGACGTCATTACTCAAAAACCAAACAGTATAAAATTTTAAATTAAGTTGAAAATAGGGTATTGTTTAAAAAGAAAATTGGCCTGTCGGAACATTTTTGCCAAAACAAAATAGAGTAGGCAGAGTAAGTTTGTTGCACAACAAGAAATCATACATAAAATATCATATATCAGATAAGATATGTTTAAACCGAAGACTTGTTAAAAAAAGCCATTTTTATGGGGCTGTTTAAAAATTTTCACTCATTTATATTTTGTTAATTCCGACTAAAGTACCTATAGGTATAGAAAACGGTTTATATTTTGCACCATATTCTTGTAAAATATTTCGGGTAGTCGATTGGCATTCAGATAACCACAAAATTCTTGATAGTTTATAAGTTATTGTCAAATTAATATTTTTGCAATTTTTGTCTTTACCAGCGATTCTCTTAATAACTATTTATCGCAAATCTTTTTTTATAAGACAGGAAATTAAAGGTACTTTCCAACGATACCAAACATAAGACAGTTATCTAGAATAATTTTTAAGTTATTAGCTGATATCCGCTCCGGGTACCAAAAATCGACAAAAATTTTGATAAAAATCGAAAAAGTTAAAATTTTCAAAAATCAACCAAATGCATTCCTATGGGTCCAAAAGACTTAGATAAGTGCAAAAATGTTGAAAAACACTTAGAAATGCTTGACAAATTTACAATCAGCGCGTCAAAATCTATCGAATAAGATAGGTTTAAATAGAATCTGAGACATGTTCAAAATAACCAATTTTGAATGAGGAGGTATTCAAAAAAAAATTACTTGTTTTTATTTTTATAATTCCTATTAATGTATATTTATTGAAAACGGTTTATATTTTGTATTATACCTGTGTAAAATGTTCCGGGTGTCAAGAAAACTGCAAAATTCTTGGTAGTTTAAAAGTTATAGTCGAATTAATATTTTTGTCTTTACCAACTATTTTCTCAATGACAATTTATCGCAAAACTATGATCTTATTTTATAAGATAGGAAATTAAAGGTGCTTTCCAACGACATCTAACATAAAACAGTTATCAAAAAATTTCAAAGTTTTTAGCTGATGTCCGCTCCGGGTACCGAAAATTCAAAACATTAAAATTTTACAATATAACCAAATTCATTCCTACAGATTCAAAAAACTTAGAAAAGTGCATAAAAGATTATTGAGGCAAGTTTAAAAAAGAACGCTTTTCTAGAGTCTTCAAATAAATATTTTTTGTCGTGCAAAAGAAATTTTGGAAAATAGTAAAGAACAAAGAAAATTTGATTTCATTTTCATTATTATTATGTTTTTTTTAAAATACCCTATTTCCAATAGTGATGTCAACGTTCAAAAATGGTGCTCAATCGTTGTTTTGACAACTGTTTATTGAGCAATTGTGACAGTCTGCAGACGGTAATTTGAAGCAGAAATTAGCTATATTTTTTTTAATAACAATTTAAAAAAATGACGTTACGAAATATCCTTACACTATATTTAGAATAAGTGAAATATTTGGGTGGTGGGGAGGGAGAGAAACCGCGAATTAAGGGAAGTAAACATGCAAAAGAATATAATGTCCAATTTGTGGGCCATTATATCGTTCCGGTCGATTAGACAGCTCTGGCAGGGTGTAAAAGGAGGCATAATTATGTTTTAAAAAAGCGCGTATTTTATTCTTTGAAAGTTATGGAAAGACGGTAAAGCAAATTGTTCCTAAATAGGGTTTCGGTGGGGGTAAAAGAAGCTCGGAGCTATTCTCCAATTATAATATTATCAAGTTATTGGCGAGAAACTCTAATTGTCACTTTGGTTTCCAATTAAGACTGGTGGAACGTCGAACAAATCCCCTTCAGTCGTTCTCGGTTTAGCCGAATATTTATCCAGGAAGATTAATCCAACAACTAGTTTTAATCCTCAACAAACTCCCTCAATTGATACCGGAATTGGTTCCGATGAATTACCAATTTAATATTAAACCCTTTCATTACCGCCAGATAAATATTTCATAAAAGTCATGGAGTTAAAGCCAATATGGCCGCGAAGTGGATGTCGTAGGGTCCGGGTTTCCGGAATAATTCCGGGTTGGCAAGGGGATGTTGATAATGAGCTTCTGACGAGCTGCTCCCTCGCAACGCAGTTATAACTCCAAAATATGGGGATCGGAAGAATTATTATTCGACGAAACACCCCTCGAACCCGGAATTTTTACACTTTTACTTTATCTCTAACGAGCGATGAACGGTTTTCTCGTTATGTGTGTTTTTTTCGATCGAATATATGTGACACGCAGAGGTATTATTATTCACCTCTTTTGTTTCCGGAAACAACACTCACGCCATTTTGAATCATGGCGCCGGGTCAACACGTGACGGCTTTGTTTGATTTACCCCAAGATTGTGATCGAGCAGGTTAATACGGTTTAGGCTTGTAAAAATTGTTATGCAAAGAAATGGAAGTTTGTTGTGTAATGGAAAGTGCATTAGCTTAATCTAATTAGGGATTACGCGAGTCATTTATCAGCCCTGCTCTCCACTCTCCACTGATGTATATTTTATGCACCATTAAATATACTGTGAGCGTGTTCGCTACAATTGACAATTATTTATATTACAGTTACCATTTATCACATTATCGTTCGGTCATACCCGCATATTTCATAACAGTGAACTTTATTGAACCAAATGCAGGGATGTGATTGTAATTGTCGGAATGTTGAACGAGATATTTTTCAGAATAATTACCTGATAGGCACGAACCAGGACCTGAGGAACTAAAGGAATTTTTTAGTTGGGCGAAACCTGAAATTAAAAAAAAATTCATTAACAATTAATTTAATTACCAAGAAAACAAAAAAGTTGTACCTAACAAGCTCTTGATTCAATGCACAGTTTCTTTACCAGTCAATATTTTTCTATTTCATTATTCAAAAAAAATTAAAACGTTTAAAATTGACTCAAATCTCAAAAAAATAAAATCTGCCAAATGAACATAATTTTAGTTAAGGGTATTTTTTGGAAAAATAAGTTACTCTAGTAATCACTAATGTAGGATTGAAATATTTCTGAATTTTATTACCTAATTTGCCAAACCTTAAATATGAATGTTTTTTTGTCGAACCAATATTTTAGCACATCTAACATCTCTATCCGCAGCATAAAGTGTTTTTTTTTGTTTGTTTTCTCTTATAATAAATACCTACAACTCAGTTTATTTTATTCTAATCAAGATTGTAAGCTTAAAAAATACGAGTTACAGTTGGTTTTATAACATTTTAAACACACTTTCAACAGTGTTATTACTCCTCTTTAATTTTTTGATATAATTAAGAAAAAGGCTTTCTGGCATTCTGTTCAAAAAATGAAAGCTATTGCTGCATGCCATCCAGTTGGGCCAACCGCATCTTTTATACCTATTGCACATTGTTCGAATGTTTAATAAATGTTAAATCTTCCTAAAAGATACTAAAAACCAAGAAATTACGCCCTTTCAATTTTTTGATATGTTTAAGGTTTAAGGAGAAAGCTTTCTGGTGCTCTGTTGTAAAAATGTAGGTTGTGGCTCTATGCCGTCATGCTAAGAATAACACTTATTTTAAAAACCTTACAGTTTTGTGTTTAAAAATAAAAAATACATATAGTATAAAACCGTTCCCATCAAATTATAAAGAACCAAACGCTTTTTTCTTTTCCTCTTAAATTTAAATCATACAAAATAACTCAAATAAATTTAAATAGATGCAAGAACTTATAAAGCAACTTTTTTATTAACTAAAAATAAAACAAGAAAACATAAGTACGAGTACAATATGTGGAGCATGATTTTATTTTACTATAAAAAAATATTAAACAAGACATAAAACTTGAAGAGACAAATTAGTCAGCGTCCCAGACATGCTATTACCTACATAAATATTTTTTTAATACTAAATATTTTTACATATACTTAAATAAGACAATCTGAATGCAAAAGTAACCTATATTTAAATTGATTTTATCTATAGAATAGATTTTTTTCTGCTCATTTTTGGAATATAAGGTCTTTTATACCTAGTGAGCTAAAACATATACCTACAGGCTGAACCAAAAGGAGCGCACAAAATTCATAAATTTGTTTTTTTTTAATCTTCAATAAAGTAGACTTTATTTTTGTTAATGATACATTTTCATTAGATATACTATTATTTATAACGTCAATGATTTTTAAGTAATGACATCAGTATTTTTTAAATGGCAACCAACATTTTTGTTTCCTGTTTTTGATAGGTAATATTTTCTTTTAAAAAGATAGAATCATGTACCTTTAACGAAAAACAATCAACAAAATTGTTGGTTGCCATTCACGTCACAAATCTGACAAAATGTAGCATTTATAAAAATAAAATTGAACTCTTTGAGAATTGTTTTTGAAAAATGACATATCAAAATATGAATTTTGTGCGTTGCTTCTGGTACACCTGTATATTTACTGAAAAGTTTGTTATTATCGGCTATCTGAGCAAAAATTATTATGTTTATTTATACATATACAATTATTAGAGTTAAAAATGTAAAAGACGATTCTTTTCTGATGCTAAATTTGCTACAAAGTAGTTCTCAGCTATCGATTATATGTAAATTAGTAAATTAAGGGTCTTAACCAATTGTTAACTGCCGCATTTGATTACCTTATCACGTTTCGTCTTTACAACTTAATTTCGAAAAAGTTTAATTAATTTCGAACAATCTGTTCAAACTTTAATTACGCAATTTAATATTTAATATTGTGTCGATGTCAGTTTAATTTAGACTTGTTGATAGTCATTTTCGAGTCATATAAAACGATAATTAAAGCCAGTATTTATTTAAAGTCAAGGTTTTTATTGACAAAGGCAAGATACAGATCAGTAAATTTAATAATTATTTCAACACCACCCACAACCACTCTTGACAACTTAAAGAAACTTGAAGAGGTCAAGGTTGGTTTTATAATTTGATTGTACTAGAATAAGCACATTTCGTAAAAATCCCATGAATATCTCAAATTTCACCCGGAACAAAGTCGAACGTTCCACATTTATGTCGTTTCTTCCGCACACATCTATTATCCATACACGTACCGATGTTAAGTAGCTGTCATATGACAAGCAATCCACAATACAAAACAACCTGAGACGTCTAAGCTACCATTGAAGCATAATGGACCATGCCTAATGCTCCTCCAAGCAATTCGCCTTCCGTTCGCGGACGAAAAGGCCGAAAATTCTCTGCCGGCTTCCCTGGATCGATTTAAAATGTTTTGACCACAAGAGATGCTCCTTTGTGCTCGTATGGGAGCTCAGATTTTTTTGATAATAGGACGTATTCAGGCTTTTATGTCGGAATAAATGTAATCCTATATCGTTTAACGACGATTTTATGGAGCTCGCACACAAGTCAAAATTTTTACACGGCGTAAAGACAGCGGTCGAATTTTGGCCGTAATAACGGATGATTGTGGCAGATTTACGCCCTTAGAAATTCCCGGTGTTATATTGGATTTCCCATTCTCGCCGCATACACGCTTCAATCTGAAGATAGATAACATCTGTAGGTTTGAGTGTCACACCTATTGCCTGAAAGGGTATGGATTCGCTCACATTCAAGCAACAAATTGAGGCACAATAAGCAGGCACTTTAGACTGCTCGGTTCCGTTCAATTCCATTGAGTAGGTGTCGTGTGGATGACATCGGACACCTGACCTGCACTCCGCATTTAAAGTGCCCTTTTATTGGGACATAAAGCCCTCAGCATCCTTTCAAAAAAATTAAAAGATTACTTCATTGATTAAATTCGCACCACCGGTTACACTTTTTCCAAACCAGTCTACCCGTTTCCAAGGCGACCTGATATACAGGCAAAAATATTTTCCCTTCTTTCTTCATCTTTAGTTTAAAAATAAGCATTTTTCATTTTTGCGTATACATTTAGTTTCATTTTCTGAGGGCTTTAGCGAGAATGCACTTTAAAATTAAAACGTTTAAAGTTTGTATTTATTAGTTTATCTTCTCTTCTCATAAAAAAGATTGTGATTTCTGAACTACTATAGAATTTGTATTACGGTTGGAAAAGAAAATGAATTTTGGTAGTTTTTAATTTTGTGACAAAGGACAGAAGCTTAATACATTAACCTTTCTTTAAAAAATTAACAGCTATTTTATAGAATGCAAATAAAAAATTTAATCCAGAATTAAAGTAATTCGAATAACGTAATTTTTTTTTGCATTCCTAAACATCAATTTAATAGCAAATTAAAATTTAACAGAAACTGGCCTTCAGTGTAGGTATATCACATGAGTACTGAAATTGCTTTTTGTGTTTTCTTTTTTATTTAGATTTTGTGTTTTTATACAGTATGTCTTTGGATTGAGTTTACAAGAAAAATTTTTTTTTATCTTTGATTTTACGAAGGAAAAACTTTTGTTGGTTCACCTGAAACGAGCAAATCTGGACTTACAACTTCATTATTCTGATTCAGTGAAAAGAAAAGTTAATTTTTCTTTTGATAGTCGACTTAGAATATTTTTTTTCGGAATAAGTCTATTCCAGCACCCAAATGACGTCATTTGAGTGCTGGAATAAGTCGTTGGCGTTAATTTAATTTTAGGGACGGACTTTCTTCACAATCATTTTCAAATGTGAAAATAAGAATTATTTTTATTTTTTACAACCGCCTAAAATTATTCCACATAAATGTCGCAAACCGTCGCAAAATTCTCTAGAAAAAAAAATTAAAACTTTCGTTTTTTAGTTTATAAAATGATATAAAGCGGCAAAATAGAAAAAGTAGTATAAAGCACTTCAAGCACTCACTTGTTCCTCAACTCGCCGCTACGCGGCTCGTTTCGGAATTTCAAATTTGTGCATTCAAGTTGCTTCTGCAACTTCTACTTTAATATACTATTCTCTGCCTTTTAAGCCCTATCAAGTTGGCGGTTTTATTTATTTGACAACAATACCTATGTCAATTTGACAATTAATTTATTAATTAAATAATGACTTTGGTTTTTATCTTAATGCTGTTTCTTTGAGTTGTTATTTATTAAAATTATGTTTGTCAAAAACATTTTTGTTATTTAACTTGCGTAAACTCATTGTCAAAACAATAAAACCGCCAATATGATAGGACTTAAAAAGCAGAGAAAACTTATTCTAAGACCAAAATCGAGAGAAAAATGAACTTTTCTTTCTACTGAGTTAGAATAATAAAGTTTTAATTGCAGATTTACTCGTTTTACGTAAAGCAACAAAACGTTTTTCCTTTGCAGTTTTGGCGTAAAATTAAAGATAATTTTTTTTTCTCTTGTAAACTCAATCTGGGGACATACTGTATAACATGTCGTAAGTATAACTACTAATTTAAACTGAAATCACAGATGTTGTTAAAAAAATATGATATTTACGTATCATACCATATTTGAAAACTTCCTACTAAACCAATATTTTATATATAAATGTGACTTTTATAAAAGTTTTTGTCACTTTGTATGTATAATTTGTTTGTATTTGCTATTTTAAAAACCAATTCAGTATCACAACATCAGTTTTGTGTTTAACTTTATTATCACTCCTCTTAAAATCTTTATATTTATTAGTTTTTTGAAAGCGATGATTTAGTCTGACTGTTTCTTTAGATGAGGTACTTACTAGAATTTCAGTTTTAAGCTTATTGCATTGGGTTAACATATTTTTACGTATTAAAAAATTTAAGAAAAATATCATTTTTAAAAAAGTAAAGTAAGAAAAACAGAAATTTGTATGACAACACATTTCTGAGACTATT